TTCATTGTTTCTTCTCGGGACGTGTATGTGGGAGAGGCTTGCCCTGCCGACACCTTCGCAGATGAGGATGACCAGCCGCGGTGTGAGGCGTGCCCAGCCAACAGCACCTCGGCCAATGGCTCTGCGGCTCTGAATGCCTGCGATTGCAGCTATGGCAAGCCTCGGGGCAAGAAGGGCAACCGGAGTTGCCAGTGTGAGGCGCCTGGGCTCTTGTTAAGGGACTCAATGGAAGCTACCACGATACAAGTAGGGATCTACAGTAAAGAATCGGGCTTCCTGACAAAGTTCCTCAACCAGAACACAGGCTCACACGGCGCAGCTTGGTGGCCTCTGTGCGCCATGCAGCAAACTCCACATCGACTGTCCTGAGCACGGCAGCATCGCAGCACATGCTCCGGTGGAACATGGCTATGCCCGCATCTCCGGCTCCCTTCAGGTGGGACGCCAATGAGGATCCAGGATCCCTAAATCGTTCCAAACACCAAACCCCAAACCCAAAACTCTAGATCCTTATGAGTCCTGCATAACTACCCAAGCCATGTCGGTGCGCGCAGGTCTTCCGCTGCTTAGAGGCAGAGCGTTGCACGCGCTTCACGGATTCGGGCTGCGCAGCTGGATCCTTGTCTTCGGCTTCTGGTTCAGGGTTTAGGATGCTCCTTACATCTCCTAAGATGTCTTGCATTCAATTTGCGGATCATTACGAATGATCAGGTTTCCTGGATGTGTAGGCTGAAGGTGTAGGGAGCGTGTTTGTCATGTACTCTAGTGACATGACCCCGTTGCATGCCTTCGGAAAGTCATGTCTCAAGGATACTCCGGCCCCCTATGTGTGGAGTGCGCTCCTAACTACCACTCCTTCAACTTCGGCAAGCAGTGCGACGAATGCCAGAGCCTGCGCCAGCACCTCGAGGATCAAACAGGGCACCGCAACTACTGGTACTAGAGACTAAGGGGAGGTTTGGCGTTTTTGAGTTATATTGCTTGAGGATAGTAAAATTAGTTGCAAGTCCTTTTTATTTTATATCGGGCATTCCTTCCGACTCTCGCGAGGCAGTCGGTGGTCTTGGTCTTCGTGGTCTCCCTGGGAACTCTGGCGCTGATCGGCGCCGTCGTTGCCGCAGGCTGCCTCCTGAGGCGCCTGGTCTTCAGAAAGCCTTCAGGCATTTGTGAAAGCATACACAGCTCCAACAGCCCTTAAAACCCTTACGCAGAGTAAACGTCCCCAAACCTCAACAGGCTAAAAAACGAAAGCCAGGAGCTACATCCCAAAGCCTGGCCTGGGAATGGAGTGTGCGGCGCAGCTCCTGGTGTCTCAAGGGGCGGTGTTGCTGCAGCTGGCGCAGCTCTGGGCTCTGCTGGCGCGCCTCGGAAATCTGGGTCAGTGTCCCTGTCTCGCTCTTGCTCTCTCTCTCTCTCTCTCTCTCTCTCTCTCTCTCTCACTCTCTCTCTCTCTCATATACATCCCCACGTCTGTCCATACTGTATGTACAAAAATTAAGAGTCTTATGCAAATTGCAGTGCCGGGGCACAGCTCTCGGTTCGCTGTTGCTATCCTCTTGCACTGAGCTTGTTACCTAGGCGCCTGACGAGCGCCAGGGAGGCACAAAAAGCGCCTGGGTTGCACTTGAAGCCCGGAGCTGCAGCTCCAAACGAGGGTTGGTTCAGGCAACACTTACATTTAGTGTTAAGGATTTTGGGGTTAAGGGTTTGTTGCGAACTCCGTTGCGATTTTTCGGTGTAGCCCCCTTGGAGCTGAGGTCTTGCAGGAAGTGGTCGCGTACAATGTCACAGATGACGTCCCCGCCCCGGAGGAGTTGAACACGGATCGCGGCTCGGCCTGGCAAGCCGAACCGTTTGTTTTTTGCAGGGCATTGCGACGCCTGATGCTGCGAAGATGTGAGCCGAGGGGACCCACTGTTCTCCTACATCGAAATCCTACAGTTCACGGGCTCGGAGTTGCAAAGCTTCCTGGACTTCCAGTGCCGCTACGACGGTGCGACGGTCCGCGGCATCTTCGCCCTTGCCACGCCCCTCCTTCCCTTGCTGGTCCTGGTTGCATGCGCCTGTGTTCTTGTTGAGGAACTTACTCTGTAAGGTACCATGATATTGGGACCTGTAGTAAATAAGCAGGTTTCTTTATTATGGCAACTTGAATTATACTCCTGAGAAAGAGCCCAGGCGCCTGCCTAGAGCTTCGGAACCTTGGCATGGGATCCTTGTCTGCACCAGAGACATGCTGCAAAAAAAGCCGCAACGGTGCTAGCCGCTTTTTCTCCCCAACCCAATACCATGGAAGTCTGGTTGAGGAAAGTATCCCCAAACAGTCCTTGAGTCCTTGTAAAACTACACAACATCATGGCCCGATGATCTCTCTACCACAAACTCTACTCGTACCTCAAAAAGGTATTTGGGCCTTTTTTCTTCATACTTTGGAGGCATCCAGCTGGCACTCCGCGCCTTGACGGTCCTCTTCGTGGGAGGCGCCTCCGGCGCGGTGAAGCTGCTGGGCTGCCAGCGCGCCGACGGTGAAGGCGGGGTGTTTACGACTTAGCGTGGAGGGTCTATCGTGTCCAGGTTCTTAGTTAGGGTACTGTTGCGGGGTTCTCAGAGAGGGGTTAGGGTTGAGGGCCTCTAAAGTGTAAGGCTTTAGTGTCGGTTTTTGTGCCCTGACCCTCAATCACTAAATCCTAAACGGCTAAAGCCGACGAGGCACCTGGATACCAGACGACCTGGCCTTCCGGCCGCTTTTCCCGTGGCTCCGGTGCTCGAAGGAGACCGCCACAGCCGCCTGGGTGGGGGTGCCCAGTGCTCTCTTCGTTGGGTTTAGGGATCAGGGTGCTTTCGGTTTAGGGTTTAGTGGATTTACTTTTGAAATGTTTTTTTGGTTTTGGGGTTTAGGGGACGAGCCCCTATTCAGCGTTCATCTGGAAAGCCCTTGATTCGAACTTCGAACTCCTGCGTGTTTGTACTACAAGCAATATCTAGGCTTCCTTGTCAGAGGTGGACCGAATCGGCTGGAGCACTGCCGCCGTCTATGGCGGTGCGGTGCCCTGCTTCCTCGCCTTCCTCTTCTTCAGGCAGCACCGCACCATGCGGCCGCTCAGATCTTTTTAGGGTTTAGGGGCAAAGTTTAGGGGTGCCTCCTAACAGCTACACACACAGACCTCTCAGTGTGCAGTGAACTTGACAAAGGCAGTGCAAGACCTTCTTTGTCGTCAGTGCCAACCAGGAGAGCGGCAGCGTCCAGCTGGAGCTAACCGCATGCGCAAAGTCGGAGCACTTCGAGGACCAAGAACAGAAGGGCTCATGTGCATACTTGCCGTATCTTGTTGTTTGGGGTTTCTGGTTAAGTTTAGTTAGTTAAGAGGAACTTCCTGTCTTTCTCCCTGTCGCTTGTTTACAGTTTGACATGCCGATGAAGCGAAGTGACATGTCTGCTCTGCATGCAGCACATTCTAAACCCAAAGCCCTACCTCTCACTGCGTGGATCACTAGCACTTTCACAGCAGTCATGTGAGCATGTGAGCAAACCTAGCCGGTATGCGAGGATGCCTCAACCCCTGAAGCAGCCTTCAGCCCTACACCCCTAAACACTAAACGGCTAAATCCTAAACTCTGGGCCGCCCACCTGCGTGGGCGGCGCTTAAGCTGCGCCTGCCCGCCTCCCCATGGGAACTGTAGAGCACCCAAGCAGGTTCTTCTTTGCCCTGCGCGTCCCTTCATAAAAGGGATTCTGACGGGCCGACTGCCCTGCCCTGTGCCCTGCCCTGCCCTGCCTGCACCCCCCTAAATCCTTAAACCCCCAACCCCTCAAGCAGCCTTCAGCCCCATAAACCCCTAAACCTCTAAACCCCTAAACCCTAAACCCTAAACTCTAGGCCCATCCAATACGCCTTCCCTGCCGTTCCCTGCCCTTCTCTGGGTTTGGGTGGTTTGGCCGCCTCAGACAGCGTGGGGAAGAAAAGAAAGGCTCCAGCGGTGAATCGTCATGCTACAATGCACTCGAAATTGCACTGTCGCTAGATACTTCCGCTTATGCGCAATTTTGCGGCAAACCCTAAACCCTACACCCCTAAATTCTAAACCCCTAAACTCCTAAGCCCCTAAACCGCGTAAACCCGTAAACTCCTAAACTCCTAAACCCTAAAACCCCTAAGCCCTAAACATTAAACCCGTATCCCTAAACCCCTAAGCAGGAGGAGCTCCTGGCAAGGCGCCTATTGGGGGCTGCAGCGGCCCACCTGGCGGTGCAGAGGCCAGGAGAAGTTTTGGTGGAGCTCCACCAAAACGCGCTGACGCTCGGCAGTTTAGGTTTGACAAAAGCTGACATTTTATGGTTCTCGGGTTTAGGGTTTAGGGTTTTAGGGTTTTGGGAGAGACCTTGCTGAGCATTTGCTTCGGCAGCGAAGTCTGTTGTGAAACCCAGGATTGTGACAGAGCAAAATGGCATCAGTCACGAAGAGAAGAGCAGCGGCTTTTCTTCCATCTCGGTGGCTTGATCGCAATTTTTTCTTCTCTGTTATTGCAGTTTGCTCTCTTCTAATTTAATGCAGAGAGGCCTGCCAGCACTGCAATGCAGCTTTGACTGTTCGATCTAGCAGGCCGAGAGCTTCATGGAGAGCGACATGAAAGACACCGTGCTGGCACGGAACTACATGATGCAGATGCTTACGGAGCGCAGCATCTTGGAGGAGATCCAATCAGACAGCTTCCTGGTAGCAGCTTTTGTCCGCTTTTGAGTCATGCCAGGGGCATAGCATGGCTGTCGAGCTCTCATGCATCGAAGGAATGCTGATCGGGGCGAAGCAACTTCTTTGCAAGTACGCCGCTCCCTTGCATTGAGCTTTGTCGTTACGCCGGATTACCAAGCGCGAAGGAAACCCCAAATCCGAAGGTCTCCAAGCCAGTTCAGGCCATGAAGCCCGAAAGCCTGAAAGACCTAAGCCTTGAACCCTTAACAGTTTGAACCAGTTAAACCATGTGCCGCCGGAGCCTTCAAACCTACAATAATAAACTAGAGCCCACGTCTTTGGTAGGGTCCCGAGACAAACACCAGGATAGAACTTATGGAAACCTTACAAAGACTCAAGCTCTGACAGGTTAACGCAAACCTTAGAGGGGCCCTTTGTGGAACCCTTCAACAAGAACCCTTGAAGGAACTCTTTAAATACAAAGAACCGAACACCTCCATCTCTTGAGCTTTAAGGCCTACTGCGGCGGAGTGTGGATGGAAGTCGCTCTGAAACTGAGCTCCGCATGCCTCGTTTCCGTGGCTCACTTTAAACCATACAAAACAGAAGGATTTGTGGTTTAGAGCGTAGGACGTAGGTCTAAGGTTCATTGTCTAAGGTTGAGCCCTCAACCCGAAACCCTAAAGTGTGCGCCGTGGAGTGAGGTCGTCTCTTCGAGGGATGGCCTTTGGCTGTCCGTGGCAATCACCTTCGGCATCTGGGCTCTTCTTGAGGAACTTAGTTTAAGTTGCCATAATGGGGATCTATAGTAGATAAAAGTGATTTCCTTATAATGGTAACAAAGTTTATGTTCGGTAACAAGCACCCAGGCATGGCTGTGATCATCGGCAGCGTGCGGCCATTTGCTCAGCCCCAGGCGGGAAGGGAAGGATGAGATTCCAGGGAAATACTCGTAGAAATGCATGCATACCTAAACCTCCTTACACCTTGTAGCATCCCTCGTAGTAACCCGCATACTCACCCTCACAGCAGCCTGATAGTAGCGCTGCAGGTGAACGCTCTGCAGAGCTTCAGCTTCTGCTGTGCCTCGGCCGACTCTCGGGAAGGACCGAAGTTTGAATGGAGAGGGTGCAGGGCTTTGGGTTTAGGGTTTCGGACTTGGTCGAATATATATAGGGACAACAAGTTTGAAGTTCTCCCGTTGGCTATCTAAAGCACTAAAGAGTATCGGGTAGATCCAGCGACCTGCCAAGGGAGGTTTAGAAGGTTGAGGGTCCATGGGACGCAGAGGCCGCGGTTGTTTCATCGCAGAACCAAATCTCTTAAGCCCTGAAGCACAGAATCCGACGGGGCTGATGCTTGTCGGTGCCAGTCAGTAGTATTCCGTGGTAGCGAGTGGAATACAGAGGCCCACCTAACTCGAATAGGGTTGTAGAGTTTACTATAGTATATTAAAGGGCTGTCAATAGAGTTTACTATAGTATATTATATGGCTTTTAATAGAGGGACTGGAGGGGGCTAAACCCTAAACCTTACCCTCACCCCGCAAGTACCCTTTCATAGAGGCGTCATGGTCCTTAATTGTGGGTGCCTAGGCTCGACAAAGGGGCAGTTGGACCCCAAAGCCCAGACAAAAAACCTGAAACCGTAACCTCAAACAAAACCCCAAAACCCTCAACCCCGAAACGCCCAAACCCTAAACACCTAAACCGCTTACCCCCCAAACCCTAAACCCCCAGACCCCTAAGCCCCTAAACCCCTAAGCCCCAAAGCTCTAAACCCCGAAACTTCAGCTGTCCCGGGGAGAACTTTGCCCTCTCAGGCCTAGCTCTGGCCGCAGTGGGATTCGCGCATCGCTGGAGCTCTCTGACCCACTTGGCCCTCCTGGTGCCATCCCCTGCAAGCTCATGGCTTCGGGTTTAGGGCTTCGGGCTTAGGGTTTAGGGCTTTGGGGTGTCGGGATTAGGGTTCAGGGTTTAGGGCTTAGGGCTCAGGGTTTAATGTAGGGCGTAGGGCGTAGGGCTTTGGGGTGCAGGGTTTGGGGATTTGGGTTCCGGGTTTAGGCTTAACGGTTAGAGACAAGGGTTTCCATCCCCAGAAAGCTGGGGCCGCCTTGCTTTCGGGTTCGGCGGTAGCGGCTGTAGAGGTCTTTGGACTTCGCTTTGAAGTTTCATCTGGGTTTAGGGTTTAGGGTTTCTTTAGGGTTTAGGGTTTAGGGTGAAAAGGGCAAGTCTACATAGCCGTTTCTACGGAGTCCTCAACAAGAAGCCCGTCTTCAGGGAGCCCCTGTGGGCCTTTTGGGGAAAGCCACAGAATCAGAAAGCAGGTTCCCCTTTTTTCTGGGCTCCCGTTGAGGAATTCGTTTTCGGCAACCATAATAGGGATCCATGGTAAATGATATGGTGTCCTTTGTTATGGCAACCAAGGATCTCTAGTAAAATAATAGGGTTTCCTTTTTATGGTAACTTAAATTACATGGGTTTAGGTTTTAGGACCAGGGTTTAGGGTTTCATGGTAGCTTAAACTACATGGGTTTAGGGCTTAGGGTTTAGGGATTTAGGGTTTCATGGTAACTGAAACTACATGGGCTGAACAGAGCCCAGCTAGGAGCTCCGAGGCGCCCCTGATGCTGACGGCGGTGCAACTTCTGCGCCCGGACTCCCCGGAAGCCCTGGCCCTACGGCTGCAGCAGGACCCGACCAGCGCGATGGCGAGGGGTCATTGGAACGATGCTGATAGAGAAGCCTAAATATAGTTACCAATATTACATAATATTACTGTGAGGGTTCCTTAAATATATGATAGGGGTGCCCAAGAAACACTAATTTTTCTAATTATCAAGGCCCCCACATCAGAGATCACTGACCCATGTTTACCGAGACGTGCCCACAGGTCATAGGTGAGAGTGTGATCTGCAAGCCATCTCACTATCCTGTGGCCCTTCCGCTCCCTTGCTTTCTGGAAGAACCCATTTCACGGAATGTGAGGGATTTCGATCCTCCCTCTCAGATCCTGCACCCTCTAGACGAGAACGCCATCATGAATTGCTCGTTTTCTCTTCTGTCCTTCTGCCTTTTTGCTTGCTGGGGCTTTAGATAAGCATTGAACTTTACCATTCTGCATGAAACTCATCAAACCATCGTATCAACCATTGTGCACCCGGGTCTATGCCTACCACGGTGTAGAGTTCCAGCGGAAGCGAAGGCGCTGGTCTCTGTGTTGCCAGGAGCTGGCGAAGCAGATCGAACCTTTGCGGCGCGGTGAGAGCGTGAGAGTCTGCGCGGAAGAAGTGCGGCTCCTGTGATCTAGAAGCCTGAATAACTATGCCGACACTTGTAGTTGGGGTTCTTGATGTTGAGTAGACTCCATATTTACCCAGAGCCGTATTCAGGCCCTTATATTGGCCGAGAAAATCGGCCAAGGAGATCTCCGGCCTTCTGCGGAGTAGAGGCTCTGAGCATCAGAACCGAAAACAGCCAGCCTCCTACTCTCACAGGAGCAAAGCCGTGCACTCTCGCTGCAAAAGACGCAAGATGCAAGATCATGCGAGGGCCTACGCGCTTGACCAAGTACCGTCGATCTTTCGACTTCTCTCAAACCTGTTTCGCTCCTCTTTTTGTGGCAAGCGTGGAAAGTTGAGGTGGGAGGCGTACTGCCTTCAGGCCACGATCAGTGCAAGCCCTAAACCCTAAACCTAAACTCCAAACCCTGGGCTTTTTCGACCCAAGGCCCCAAGGTTCTACCGAACTGAGGCCCGCTGCTGGGTTCTTGTTAAGGAACTTAGCTTAAGTTACCACAATGGAAAAACCTAGTAAATAATATGGTTTCTTTATAATGGTTGATTAAACTATAGATCCCTGAACAAGAGCCCGGCCTTGGTCGTGTAAGCCCCAACTGATCCAAGCGCAAGGCCGCCGACCGATGATGCCTTGAGGCTGAGTTTGGGGCTCAGGGTTTGGGGTTTGGGGTTAAGGGGTTAGGGTTCAGGATTTGGGGTTTGGGGAGTGAGGTTTAGGGTTCAGGATTAGGGTTTGGGGTTTGGGGTTTAGGGTTGCGGGTTTGGGGTTTAGGGTTTAAAGTTTAGGGTTTCGGGTTCGGGATTTAGAGGTTGGGGTTTGGGGTTAGGGTTTCGGGTTCAGGATTTAGGGTTTGGGGTTTGCGGTTAGGGTTTCGGGTTGGGTTTGTGGTTTAGGGAGTAGGGTTTCGGGTTCTGGATTGAGGGTTTGTGGTTTAGGGATTAGGGTTTCGGGTTCAGGATTTAAGGTTTGGGGTTAGGGTTTCGGGTTTGGGGTTTGAGGTTTTTTAGGTTTGTGGTTTAGGGATTAGGGTTTCGGGTTCAGGATTTAAGGTTTTGGGTTTAGGGTTTCGGGTTTGGGGTTTGAGGTTTAGGGTTTGTGATTTAGGGTTCAGGGTTTCGGAGTGTACGGAGGGAGCTTAATTAGGTGTTCAGGGTGTGCATAGAGTTGTGTTGAGCTTTAAGTGTGGTGTTCCGAGATTCATGGTTTGAGGGGTTTCAGAGCTACTTGCCCTGTGTAGATTCAATCAAGACCTGAGCTCCGGCACACGCACGGTGAAGCGCGGTGTCACAAGGGTTTCTCGTGCTTCTCCGAGGCCTGTGGGCTCAGGCTCATGGCATCCGCAGTTTGTTCAGTCCTTCCTTCCATATCCCGCCTCTCATGGCTCCCCGTGGCGTGCCTGGTCGTGGCCCTGGGCCCGAGCTTCGGCGTGCGCCCTGAGATCTTCGCAGAGCTCGCGGCGAGTGCCGGCGTTTCTTGCTTGCATGTCTGCCTCCCGCGCTCTGCGCCTCCGAAGATTTGACCTCGCCCCCACCCCTCTGCCCTCTGCCAAACCCCCTCTGCCAGACCAAAAGCTCAGGACGCAAGACACCGCACACGCCAAGCGGGCGGATCGACGTCGGCCTTGGCCCCTTCTGCCCGAGGCTCAGGTCTGCGGATCATCGCAGGATTTCAGCAAGCTTCTGCCCGACTGCGGTGCTTTGGGGGCGTGTAGGATTCAGGGTCTATGTTCAGTGAGTGTAGGGTAGGACAGTTAGGATCGTGGTATGTGGGGACCTGCGTGTGGGCCGAGGAGATCGAAATCCCGAAGTCCGAGCATCTGCACCTTCCCGTCGAGGCTCCAGCATTCCCCGAA